CCATCTTTTTCATCCTTAGCAATCCACCCCCACTCTTGGATTAATTCAAAGCAAATCTCAGATATAATAGCAGTTAGCCAAAACTTCTTGTTTTTAAAACCAGCATTTCAATAACCAATCATTTAGGAAGCTAAAGTTTTAACCAGTGGCTAGCTAGTTATAAACTATTGGATGACCAAATCCAGGTGCTGGAAGAAACAACATAATTGGTGCAATTTAACTTCTTTTTCCCAAATACTCAGTGTAGTTAGATAAACTGCAGTGTATAAACTCTTCTGAACATGAAGCGCAATATGCTAACCCAGCTTTAAATTGGAAAACGTTACGCAGTGACCCTCACCTTCCAGACCCGTCACCCAGGACGCGCTCCTACCCACGTCTATGTGAGCAACTCCAGGTGACTCACAGGTGCTGGAAAACAGCTCACATATGAAATATGTTCACAGGCACAATAGGGGGAAGCCTGAGAAGCAAAATGCCCCCAGGCCACAGGCGCCCAGGGCCGTAAGGCCAAAAGGCCCCGTGAAGTTCGTTCCTCATGAAGCCTGCCTAGTAACACCAACAAAAAAACAATAGCAGCTAAAGTATATGATGCTAGCATGTGCCAGGAGCTATTTGAACTTTATATATTAACTCATTTGATCTTTACAACAACCTGAGAAGGTAGTTCCTGTTACTACTACCACAGTTGTCCATGTGCCGTGGGGCTTTGCCCAGGGCCACCCAGCAGGTTCAAAGTCCGGAGAGGGCACACGGTGAGGTGCCGCCCCCTCTCTCCACCTTCCCTGTCCACCCTTATATGGCAAGAGTGCTGACCCCCTGGGCCACCCAGGAAGTGGCCGGCTGCGCACGCCCATCCGCCTGGCTGGAGTGGAAGGAGTGACGGGCAGCCCGGCCCGCTCCTTCTGGCTGAGGTGACCAGGTCCCCCTATTGTGCCCGGCTAGCTGGGCACCGGGCATCTCTGTCTCCTCCTCCCTCGTTCTGACTCTCTTTCCCCAGCTCTGCAAGTCTGCTGTCGGTTTGCTTCGCTTTGTAACCATTCATGGTGAGATCGGAGACCTGGGTTGAGCGCTGAGGCCTTAAACTGGCGAAGCGATCAGGGTGTAGACGTGTAGACTGAGGCTCTTTGGGTCTTCCTGGCTTAAGCGAAAGGGCAGCTTACATGGCCCGGACCAGGTTCCACAGATGCCGTGCATTTAGCTGACGTGCCGCATCTACAGCTCACGATCATACCAAACTTCCTCCTCCCCAGCCCTTTGCTTCAACAACTATTAATTTTGACTTGATTTTTGTCCCTATTTCCCCAAGGAACTTAGGTTGTGGCTGAAATCCAGATATTTCCTGCCCTTTCACCACCCTCACGAGCTCTCCCCCAACCTGCATATCCACAGAATCTCAAAAGCACGCCCACCAGATGTGTCTAGAATTGCTCGTCTGTCTCTGAGGAAGGGGACTGTGCTAAACCTTCACAATTCTCTCTCCCCGTGTGACCAGGGGCCAGGCCTGACCTAGTTAGGGAAGCAGGCTGGTCTGTGGCACGCATTTCCTTCAGCTTTGCCTCAAGTCTTGACTTATGTATACTGTGTTGTGCTAATGGAACTCAACAGCCCCCATGCGTACGTTTTATTAGAGAACCGTAAAATTCTGTCTAGTCTTAAATAATGCTTGAAAATTTGTATTTGAATCTTGAGAATCTCCTCTCTGTCTGCAACTTGATCTTCAGTTTGAGATGGCAAAGATACCCTATTTATTCCTGAAGCCATGAGTGGTAAAATCCTCTTGAATGCACCCATTTCTGATTCGCTTTTCTTTCTGAGCGTTCAAGAGAATACATTTCCCCACACCATAGAGTTAAGTGGGGCCACTGACTAGTTCTGTCCTGCGGGCTGTGAGCAAAGTGTCATTTATGGGCTGGATCATTTCACTGGTGGTGTGAGACAGCCCCACCCCACCCGGTGGCCCCTTCTCCTGCCCTAGGCTTCCTGTTGCAGGGGTGGAGCCCGAAGAGGCGCAGCTGTGCTGCTGCAGAGACGACGGCTGCTCTGGAGAGCTCCCCGGGCGCTGTGGGTGACCCTGTGTGAGAATCGCTGTCTTAGGCCACCACGGTTTTGGAACTGTTCGTCATTGCAGTGTGAGTTAGCCTTTTCTGGCCCGTGTCACACTGGAACTTTGCATTTTATTTTCATACAGTGTTATTTTTAATCAGTTGCTATTTTACTGATTCTTTCTTTGATCTTAATTTATTACATTTTACTGAAGTATTTACATATAGTGAAGTATACAATTTAGTGAGTTTTGACATAAGTATATGAGAAATTATGAAAACCCACAAAAATCATCATCACAGTTTAGATCAGATCGCACCCTTGTGAGCCCTTCCCCTCTCTCTCCCAGTCCTACTGCCCCAGTCTAACCCCTGGCCTGCTTTCTGTCACTACCCATTTTTGAGAATTTTATATAAATGGAATCTTATAATATGTGCTCTTTTAAAAATTTTTTGGCCTGTCTACTTTCACTTGGCATGTATCGTTTGGAGCTACATGTATTAATAATTCACTCCTTTGAATTTCTGAGTATGATTCTATTTTACAGATGTACCACAATTTGTTTATTCATTTAACTGTTGATGGGCACTTGAATTGGCTGTTACAAATAAAGCTGCTATGAACATTAATGCTTGACTATTTACAGGGATGTGTGCTTTAATTTCTCTTGGGTAAATTACTGGGAGCGGAATGGATTGGGCTGTATGGAAGGAGTGTGTTTAACTCTTCAAGAAACTACCAAACTGTTTTCCAAAGTGCCTGTGCTGTTTCATGTCCTCACCCATCAATACATGAGACGTCCAGCGGTGCCTCGTCCTCTCTGGCCGCAAAGCTCTGGCTTTTAACTCCCATCACGGAGCCACCCTGGCTCCGGTTCACAGCTTTGTTCCCAATGCCGTCAGCTCGGCTTCCGGGTACTTCCTGCAACGGTCTCTTAGCCGGCTCTCCCCCTTCGGATGAGCCAAGGTTGTCACACTGGAGCTCTGTGAATGTCCTCCCACCGCCTGCAAGCTCGGCTCCGTCAGCGCAGATCGTTCCCACGAAGCGGGGGAGCTGCGTCTCTGCCTCGTGCCTAGGTCCCCCTCTCCCCCTGCCCTTGTGCCCTGGACCCCATTCTCCTCCTCGGTGGCCTCGCCCTGTCAGCTTCTTTATACTCTCTGCTGGCTTCTGCTTTTACAATTCTATAGTACTTCCTCTGAGTCTGATGATATATTCAATTCTTACCCATCTTTAAAAAACAAAACAAAGACCATCTTGCAGCCCCATATTTCCCTCTACCTGCCACCCTAACTCTCTCCTTGCATTTAAAGATTTTAACTTTAACTTTAAAATTCTCTTTTGCTCTCCCTCACTGTGCTCCTACATGCCATTGTGCCCTGACTGTGACCTTGGCCTCTTTTCACTGCGTCCCATGGCCTCACTTCCACCGTAAGGTCAATGACTTCCAAAGTTATGTCTCCACTCCAACCACCCTGGCAAGCTCCCGAGCCACAGGGCCCGCTGCCTCCACTTGTACGTCACCTGGATCCTGACATTCAATACGTAGAAAACTCTTCCTGGAATCTGCCTCCCCCTCCATGCTACCACCCCAGTGAGTCTGCCTAGTGGGGTCTCCTTGACTCCGAACCTTTTCCTCAGCCCCCTAAGTCACTCCCTTGGTGTCTGAAGCCATCCCCTCCCCCCCGCCCTCTCTGCCCCCCTTAGCTGAGGCTGACACCACCTCTCACGGGGGTAGCGGCGGCCAGACTCCGAAAGCGTCTGCTGCCTCCATTCTTTCCCACCTCGGGTCCACTCCTAGCACTGCTTCTGGTGATCTGGCCCCTGCCTACCTCTCCAGACTCCGTCACTTCCCCTCTGGGCTCTAAAGCATACATGACAGCCATACAGAGCAGCCTGGATTTCTCTGAACGGGACACGCTCTGCACTTCACATTGTCCTCGGTCAGGACCCCCCCCCCCCAATGTCCTTTGCCCTGCACGTGCCTCTGTCCTTTCAGAAGCAGCTCGGTGTGGCCTCCCTCGGGACGTGTCCCGCAGGACTGCTGACCTTCCCATGGAACCTGCCGCTCTGTGCGGGCCTTCGTTATTGAGCTTTTCATTGGCACCGATCTCAGCGCTGGGAATGTCCCTTATATAGTAAAAAAGACCTGCTGCTTCTCTCTTCTTTGCCATCCAAGTGAACAGCAATTGTCATCTTTTTAGGTGTTCAGGCCAGAAAACTTGGACTTATACTTGCCCTTCTCTTTTTCATACCGCCTGTCCATGTGTGCAAAGCCTGCTGCCTTTCTACCAAATGCACCCAAAGTCCACCTTCACCACCCATGCCCACCACTAGTTCCTTCTCTTTCCCCTCGTACCAGCCCTCTCTGGTCCCCTGGCCTCAGCTCTTGTGCCAGGAATGTTTAGTAGTCACTTCCTGCCCCCTCCCCCACCCTCGATCTGGATCAGGTATTTCAGTGACAATTTATGAGCAATGTGCAAATGCATATGATTTTTTTTACATGAAGATTTTCACAGAAGGGAGAAGATACAAAACAATCTTTAAAGTAAATGCACTAATAATTCAGCTTTTACAAAAAGTAATTCTATAGTCAGTCACATGCCCAAATTATATACTTTAAGGTGTTTATTTGTGTACAAAATATGTTGTAATTTACCGATGCATGTGCAGCAAAATATTCTATCACATTCAACAAAAATACACCTTTTATCACCCTTCCCCTGTCCTTGAAAATGGCAACACTGTTTTGGCAGCTCAGCAGCTAAAGATAAAGTGCTGTAATTAAGCAGTATCGGTAGGTCCTCACTTGAGTAATGTGATGCATAAGTGAGTACACAACCACAACTTTGCTTTTTCACAGAACAGGAAATTCTGCACCCTGAACACCTCCGGAAGATACAAATATTTGTATATATATGCACACGTGTATACACTGTATATGTAAAGTGCCCAAAGCCTCTTTGTCCTTGGGAATCGGTCGCATCTATGGTCTCTCTTTCCTGCCCCAAGTCAGAGCACGCCCTCGGGGTCTCGGAGCTCGCCGAGGCTGGCCTGCTGGGGCCCTGGTGTTGGCGAGCGGAGGGCGGGAGCCTTCAGACCTCACTGGGCGACCTGGAGCCGAAGGGCGCTTTGGCCTGGAAGCAGCCGCGGAGCAGGAGCCACAGAGCGCGCTGGATCTCCTGGTTGCGGAAGGCGTAGATGACGGGGTTGATCATGGAGTTGTAGGTAGCGGGCAGGAGGGTGGCGTAGGCGTAGACGGCCGGGTCCTCGCGGCTGCCCACCACGCAGTAGATGGCGAAGGGCAGCCAGCTGGCGCCGAAAGCGCCCAGCACCGCGGCCAGCGTGCCCACCCCCTTTCTGGTGGCGGCGAGGTGCGGCGGGGCCAGGCAGTGCTGCTGCAGCGCGATCTGGTGCGCGTGGCGCCGGACCACCTGGCAGATGCGCACGGACAGGTGCAGCATGACGCCGAAGACCGCGAAGAAGGCGGCCGAGAGCAGCGCCACGTGGCTGCGGGTCAGCGGGTGCACCACGCTGCAGGCGGCGCGCTGCGCCAGGCAGTTCCAGCCGAGCACCGGCAGCAGCCCGAGGCCGAGCGACGCCGTCCAGGCAGCGGCGAGCAGGAGATGCACGCCCAGCAGCGTGCGGCGCGAGTAGTAGGTGAGCGCGTTGTAGAGCGCCAGGTACCGGTCCACCGTGATGGCCAGCAGGCTGCTGACCGAGGCGGCGAAGGAGGCCACGAGGAAGCCCACGGTGAGGAGGCGCGCGGTCTCCGAGGGGACCACGTACCGGAACACGAAGTGCAGCACGAGGCCGCAGCCCGCCAGCAGGTCGGCGGTGGCCAGGCTGCCTACCAGCGCGAACATGGGCGTGCGCAGCGCCGGGGTGGACGCGATGAGCGCCACGACCAGCGCATTTTCGCCTGCGGTCACCGTGCCGGACGCGCACAGCAGCACGTCCCACGGGTTCACAGCGGACAGAAGCGGCCCCGGAGGTGCGGCCGCCAGCTGGGAAGCCAGCTCCAGGGACGCGTTAGCTGCCCCGGGGCCCCCGAGCGCCGCCGCCGCAGGGGCCCCCCAGTCGCCGCTGTCCCGCGCCCCCGCCGCGGTGGCCGCCGCTCCCGCCGCCACCCGGGACTCGTTGAGCGGAGAGGTGCTCGCGTTCATCACGGCGGGAAGGTGCAGCCTGCGGGGAGGGGGAGCAGGTGTCAGTCGTGCGGTTCCAGCTGCCAGGGAAGTTCCCCGGGCGCAGGTGCCCGCTGCCGCCGCCCATCCCACCCCGGGCCCAGGGCAGAGGAAGCAGCAGTGATTCAGTGAGAGCCCGACACCGATAAATACCTGTTGAGTGAGCGAGTGAGTGACATGCGCACGGGTGCCCGCGCTGATGGGTTTCTGCAGATTTACACACGGTAACTGCACCCACATACACACAGACAAGCCCGAAAGTATGCCTGTAATTGCACGCGCGCCCGTGCGCGCCCAGCCGGGGTGCCAGCCTGAATACCCGCCCGGGAAGCAGCCTGCGCGCCCACCTGCGTCCCAGGTTGGCCGAGTAGGGATCCCTGTCCCTGCCCCCTGGCCGCTGGCCGCGGTGCTGAAAGCGAAGCGTGTGCGATCGCGGAGCCCCGAGCGCCGCGGAGTCCGGACGCCCTTGGCACAGGGGCGCTGGGGCAGAGGACTGGGCGTCTGCGCGGGGCGAGCCTGCGGGGCCAGCTCGGGTCCTTTCCTCCGGCCTCGGGAAGGGCTCGTCCCCCCGGCCCCGCTCCTTGCCTCGGGTTCCGCTCGGGGGCCGGCTGCTCACCTGGGCGCTCGGGGCCGCCAGGACTCGCCGATCCGGAGCGCCGTGGCCGGGCGCCAGGCTGCGCTCCGCGCGGGGACGAGGGTGCGGGCGCCGCCGGGAGCCGCGCCGGCAGAGGCGGGGAGGGCGGCCCGGAGCCCGCGCCCGCTGACGTCAGGCCTCCCGGGCGCGAGCCTGCGCGGCTCCCTCCGCCCCGCGCGCCCGCACCTGCCCCGCTCGCTCCCGCAGGTGGTCGCCGGGGTTCCGGGGCGAGAGGAGGCAGCGGGCCGGACCGGGGGAGGGAGGCAGGGCGGCGGCCGCGGAGGGCGGGCTGGGGGGCGGGCCGGGCAGCACGGCAAAGGGTCACGGGTCACCGGGGCCGGGGTGCAGAGCGGCCCTGGAAAAGGGGGGCGGGGATTGGGGCAGAGCTGCCACCTTAGAAAAATACAGTAGTGTTTTGGGGACAGGAATGGACGGCTGCACAGGGCTGTGAGGCACAGAAAAGGAGGGGCATGCGAGGAGCACGTCGGACAGAAAGCCTCTTCTTGCGGCGGCCACCTGTGCGGCCCCCTCGCCTGCCATTCCTTCCTCCCGCGGTCCTTGAACTCTGCTCCGCGCGCCGCGCCACGATCTTCCCAGCCCGGTGTTGTCCGATTTCAGCAGCCAATAGTGGCCCTTGGAAGTTGCTTTTTGAATAAATACCAGGTCTGTGTCTTGTTAGAAAAGAAGAAAACAGCAAAATGCGATTTACTTTCTTGGCAGGAGACTTCGCCCTGTTAATTAGTACCTATAAAACTAATTATAGGACAAAAATAGCGGTAACTCGGTTGTACCAGACTTCAGCAGGCAGAAATTTTATTTTCAGCTCAGATAAATCATCCTTGGGTTAAAGGTGTTCTGCTTTGTCAGTAAAATACAAGTAGTATTAGACTCCGTCTTTTGTAACGGGCCGGTATCTCTGAAGCTGCACTTGGGCAAGGGCTACGCTAGGTGACCCCAAGTAAGGTTCTAACATAAATGGTCGCAAGTCAGCGTAACGGCATGGTGGGGTCCACAGCCACGGCCGCAGGGGCCACATGGCCACCATTCGCTAGTGGTGCCTCCCCCACTGTTCCCAGTGTACCCTCTTCTCTCTCCTGGCTTCACTTTATCTCTAGCCCCAGGGACCGTAAAAGGCAAAAAATATACTCCAACTGTCTACAAGCTGGGGTGGGAGGTGGATTTTCACCCTGGCCTTCTTCCTCTAAACAAGGCCTGCGAACCCAGGCCACGCCCGACCTCTCGCCTCGGTGCAGCTGGACTGAAGCAGAGGAACGCAGGGAAGCTGCAGGACCTTCCAGCTCTTTGCTGTGCACAATCTCTCCATTTGGGGAGTTTATAAAATCCTCACACTACCATTTTCATGCACCCCCAAACTGGCTGAAGGTCTAAGCTTCTGAAAAGAGCCGTTGGATTTCAGTAAAAGACTGTCATTTAAAAGCCAAGAATGTCATTTCAGAGCAGTCAGGTGAACTGTCAAGCCCCTGGAGCCACACATTAATAGCACATTTTCTGTACAATCTGACAAAGGCCCGAGGGGAGAGCCCTTCTACATGTCTACATGCATTACATTTTTACATGCCTCCGTGCAGCAGGGAGTGTGGGGTTACACTAAACAGAGACCCCGTGTTTGGGGCTTCTTCGGGCTTACACGACTGCCAAGAATGGACTTCTCAGTGGTTTTAGGAGGAAGACAGCACACGTGGAATCATGTACATAAGAGCTGGTTTAGGGTTTGTAGATTGACTTTGTGTCGTGCTATGTGGTTACTTCTCAGATGCTAGACTGGATTCTGAGAGCACAGAGGGTACATCCTTTCAAGTCCCTTCTTATGCCTCCCATGCCCACCATCTCCTGGGAGGCAGAAAACAGAAAGTAAGGCATGCGGTTCATTGTTTATGGATGGGTATTCAGGCACTTGGCTGCCTGCTGTGCCCACAGCTCCTCACAAATACCTGCCTGAAGTTCCTGAGTGTCTGATTTCTGGCTCTGGGAGCCCAGGTTCCTGGATGCCATGTGTACACCTGCTACAAGTCTTCCTGGTCTTAAGCTATCATGGAGAGTTTCTAGTCGGTGAATCCTTGATGCTTGTCTAAAGCACACAACTCAATGCATTATTCATTCTCCTGCTTGCCTGGCCCTGGTTATGTTTTGGGGTATGCAAAGTTCCGTTTCCAACTTTCAAGTTTTCGGTGACAACTTAAGCTCATTGTTGCCCACCTGTGACATGTCCAGCATATCCCAGCATGGGCTGGGGAAACGTCCCTTGTTTCGTGCCCAGGAATCACAACCTCTCAGCCGCTCTGCCCTGGCTCACTCGGGTATGTCTTGCCCATCTCAGTCTCAGCGGGTAATCCCCAACCCTGGGCACACATTAGAATTGCCTAGAAAGCTTTTTAAAACTACCCACTCCTGAATCCATTACCCAGAGATTCTGATTCATTTGGTCTGCAGTGAGGACCAGGCACTGAATTTTTCTAAAGACTCCAGTGGAAAGGCAGGGTTGAGAAGACACGTGCAAGCAATCCCACAACACCTTGGCCAGTTTAGCATGTGGTGAAACTCCTGGAGTGGCGGATGGGAGTTTGCAATAGTTGCAGTAATTTTAGCAACAATCCAGCTTTAAGTCACTTAGTGTATTTTCAGATATAAGGCACTAAAAGAAGGCACCAGACCTTCTCTTCTCTACAGACATTTGATTTTCCATACTCACAAGAACTTTCTTTACGGCCCAAGATGAGGGCTAGCACTTGGCCCCCTTTTGGCCTTGATGAACTCAATACCCCCATCATAGAACTTTAAATTCTGGTTGCCCCAGACCCGCAGTTTTTCCTATAGCTCTCTGGATACCTCAGCATCTGCCCCCGCCCCTGTTGTGAGTTCACAGCTGCTTACCAGGTGTGCCCTCTCCTGGTCCAGATCTTTGCAAGTCAAGTCTGTGTTACAAAATCTGAGCTACAGTCAGCCAAGCTATCTAGACCTTAAAAAATTAGGTTGGAAAAACCCATACTAGCAATCTTTGGGCAGCTGCAGACACCGCACACACACACACACACACACACCCTCTCTTTGGTTCTCAGAGACAAGCAGTACAGTTTTCTGCTGGGGAGTCTAAGTCTATTTGGCGGTACACAGATACTTAACGCTGACAGCTCAGGAAGAGAGCAGGTGCTTAGTAAGATGTATGAAGCTGTTATTTAGAAAGATTGTTGCTGAAAGAGTAAGAATCACAAAGGGCCATTGAATATTCCATGTTGTTTGTCCAGACCTAGGGTACTGGATAGAGTGCATCTTTCTGGGAAACTCGACGAGACAGACGGATGATATTCGAAGCACCTCCTTCCCTCCGTCTCCACCCAGGGCTTCCTCTCAGCCCCAGGCATCCGTGGCGCGCCATCACGTCCACGTCCCTACCTGTTCAGCGTGTCCGGACACACCGGATGTTCCTGCCCGGTGGCAGGTGAGCAGTCTGTTCTCCAAAGGGCTGTGATCCTGGAGGCCAGCACCACCTCACGCTCCTACCGGGCGCGGACGAGGAGCCGCCGTTACCATTACATACCCACAAAACACAGAACGCTGCGCAGGGCAGTTGGAACTTTTTTATTTAATTCAGTTGGTGAGCAACATTCCTTTTCTTCTGGCATGAGAAATCAGGAAAAATCATAGCATTTAAAGATGTATGTCTTTTCATAAAGAGCAAAAAATAGCTATCGAGTTTCATGGCGATACATATATAATCTTACAACTTAGATTACTGACTTACTGACTGAGGTGATGAAGTTGGTTCTATTATATCTGAATAACATGGAGGTGATCTTCCAATCTGCTGTGCCCTGCATTTCCAAAGCGCTCTGAAGCTCCTGTAGCAGGTTCATACTCATTATCTCCTTGTGTTCTTTGAAGCGATTTCACAGAGTTTGGGTTTATTTTCTTTGCAGATGGGTAAACTGAAGTTCAGGGAGATGAAATGAACTGTTCAAGGGCGCACGGGACCCCAGCAGGTGCACTGCACACAAGGCGTCAGTGATTTCATGGGAAAGCGAAATAAACCTCAATTCAATGTATGCAGAGGTATGAGAGGCTTTCCTTTGAATAGCTGTACCCCAAATGATGGAGGTTGTATTTTATAACTTTAATGTTGCCACAAGCAACAGTTTATAGATGACCTGTTTTCTGTTTTGTAAGCTGCTTTTTAAATGTATTGTTAAAAAATTAAAGGGAATAATAGAACTTTTACCCATATTCCCATCAGCTAACGAAGATTGCCTTTCTTTATTCCAGATTATAAACCTTTTGAAGGGATGGACCAGTTCTAATTGATTTTTCCATCATTATAATCTGGCACAGAGTAGGTGCTCAATCAATATATAGTGAATGGTTATTTCCAGAATTTACACACATGCATATGTATTTTATGTAGGTATGTTGCATAGTATGCATGTACTGTATGTACAGTGTACAATTTGTTTTCATTTCACAATATAGGATATGTTGTCAATATTTTACACGCTGCATTGTGATTATTTTTCATACTTCTGCCTAGTTATTCATTCACTCAGGAAACACTTATTGAGCACCTACGACAAGCTAGACATTGTGTTAGAAAATGAAGATGGCAGAGGAGGTGCCTGTCCTCAGAAGCAGGTGAACAGCTCCAGGAGGCATGTGGCGCGTGCTGTGACAGAAGCGAGCACGGGGGCGGTGGGGGCGCTCGGGAGACGCCCCACAGCCTGGGGGTCAGGGAGGCCTCTCGGCGGGGACAAGGCTCGCGCTGAATCTGGAACGAGGAGCAGTCATGTGGGCAGGGAAGACGGGGAAGTGTTCCAGGCACCGCGAGCTATGTGTTCAAAGGCATGAAGTCGAGGGAGCCCGGCACAGGCCCCGGGGCCTGTGGGTAGTGAGTTGTGGCTGGCATGGCAGACGGGTGGGCAGGAGCACAGAGATGCCAGATAGGCAGGGCCACCTCAGGAGGGCTTCCTGGCAGCATAATGTTCCCGAGGCCAGAGCTGTTTTATCCTGAAGGTACCGGGGAGCCAGTGGCAGACCTTCTTAAGTGGGTGGTTGTCAAAATCCAGTTTGGGGCTCTTAGAACTCAG